TTGTTTATCTCTCTTTGTCTCAGCTTCTTTACTTTCCATCGTTTGTTTTTCTTTTTTTTTTTTTTTTAAGATTTTATTTATTTATTTGACAGACAGAGATCACAAGTAGGCAGAGAGGCAGGCATAGAGAGAGGAGGAAGCAGGCTCCCTGCTGAGCAGAGAGCCCGATGCGGGGCTCGATCCCAGGACCCTGGGATGATGACCTGAACCAAAGGCAGAGGCTTTAACCCACTGAGCCATCCAGGCGCCCCTATCGTTTGTTTTTCTATATCACTAATGTTCTCTTCTGACTCATTTATCCTAGGAGTAAGAGCCTCCATTTTTTATCACACCTCATTAATAGCTTTTCTGATTTCAACTGGTTGTATTTTAGTTCTTTTATTTCTCCAGAAAGGGATTTTATTTCTTCAGAAAGGGATTCTCTAGTATCGTCCATGCTTTTTTTTGAGCCCAGCCAGCACGTTGGTAATTGTCACTCTGAACTTTAGAGTTGACATCTTATTAATGTCCATATTGATTAGGTCCCTAGCCATAGGTTTTCCCTCTTGTTCTTTTTTTTTTTTTTTTGTCTTTTTTGTGGTGAGTTTTTCAGCCTTTTTACTTTATCCAGGTAAGAATAGATGAGTGAGAGAACAAAATACTATAAAGGTAGCAAGGACCCCAGAAAAATATATGCCAAACAAATCAGAAGAGACCTGAAACCAGGAAAAGAAAGGAGGAAAAAAAGGAAAAAACCAGAGCCAAATGCTTGATTTTGGGTGTATTTTGGTCTGTTGAAGAAATAGCCTCCCAAAATTTTAATGAAAGGAAAAGTTTTATATATATATATGTATGTATACATACATATATATATATATATATATATACACACACACACACATAAATAAGGGTCAACATGATGAAGGGATGGAATTTGACTGTAAATGTGAAAATTGAAGATACTAAAAAAGGACTGATAAGAAGTAGGTTGAAAAAAGAAAAAAAAAAAGGAAAGAATGTTATCAGGCTGGAGACTAGAACAAAGCTATGTGCTAGATTTAGGGTATATTTTGATCTGTTTGAAGAAACTCTATCCCAAAATTTTAAAGAAAGAAAAACCTAAATGTATACAAAAAATAAAGCCAAATACATTGAAGAGATTGAATATGACTATAACAATGAAAATTAAAAAAATATTTTTAAAAAGGCATTAATAAGATAAAATAGTTAAAAACCATTAAAATAGGAAAGAAAGAATAAAAAGAGTAAGAAAAAATAGAATAAAAATATAACTTTGAAATACTAAAGAATCATGGGGAAAAAGTCGTGAATTCCATATTCTGTATTCCCCTATTTCTCAGGTTTTGCAGTTCTCATTGATTGGTGAACTTGGTCTTGGCTGGATGTTCATATTGATCGGGGACTGAGACTGTTGCATTGATTCTCAAATGTCTTTGCCCAAGGTGGAATTGCACCACTCTTGTTTTTGTTCCCTGAATGCTTTCCGTACAGCTTTGGAGGATGGGAATGAAAATGGCAGTATCCCCATCTCTGGCACCAGAGGAGCCAAGAGCTCGGGGTGTCACTCCTCAGTGTGCCCTCAGAGAAAAGCAGTCAATCATGCCTGTCTCCTGGTCTCCGGATTCAGTCCATGCTCACCCAGCCTGTGACCAAGTGTTTCTATCTATGGCACATGATCCTGTTTGGAGTTTCTAAGCCCAGCAGACTCCTGCCACGTGCTCCCATGTTGATCTTCCTGGAGGAGGAAGGAGGGGGTCTCCTTGGATCTGCCACTTGTGGGGTCCCTGCTCGAAGACCAGTGGCCTCACTGTGCTTTGGATCATGGTTTAAAGTAGCCCTGAGCTTAGAGCCCCTACCTTGGCTCCGTCTCTGCATCCGGCTTCCTCACTCAGATACCTGGCAACTCTGCCACACTCAGACACCCCTGGTCTTTCTGTGACCCTGCTGGTCCTGAGACTACATTGTTCACCGCCACTTAGCCTCTGGAGTGACGTCTCTCAGTGGAGCAGACTTCTAAAAGTTCTGATTTTGTGCTCCACTGCTCTACCACTTGCTGGGAGCTGGCCCCACCCCCCCCATAGTCTATCTTCCTGTGTGTCACCTCGGATTCACTTCTGCTCATGTCCTACCTTCCAGAAAGTAGTTGCTTTTCTGTTCCTAGAATTGCTGCTATTCTTCTCTTTGATCTCCTCTTGAGTATGTATGTGTTCAGAATTGTTTGATAACTATCTAGCTGAACTCCTGGGACTTGATGATATTAGCTCCTCCAGCATCTTACTTCTCCTCTCCAAGGTGTCGTATTTAAAGAGCCCTTGTTAAGATAAAGTATGTCTGGCTGGAGAAACTCAGTAGTATTAGCTAACATTCAAGTACATAATTTGTGTCTGGAATTATGGTAAGCACACTGTATTGGTTACCTTAGTTAATACTGAGAATAAACTTATGAGGTAGATATTATTGTATTTAATCACTTTTAGGATGTACATTTTTTCAAATTTTAATACTCTGGAATCTGGTTGTATCTTTTTTAAAAAAGATTTTATTTATTTATTTGACAGATAAAGAATGAGAGACAGAGAGAACATGAGAAGGGGCAGGGTCAGAGGAAGAAGCAGACTCCTTGTTGAGCAGGGAGCCTAATACAGGACTCAATCCTGGGACTCCAGGATCATGACTTGAGCCGAAGCAGTCACTTTACCAACTGAGCCACCCAGGGTCCCAAGAATTTGGTTGTATATTACAATCAAAAGCATCTTGCATGCATAATTTAGAACATTCTTTTCTATCCTAGTGATGTGTAAAATCATGGTGAAGCTGAGAAGAGAGAAGGCATCATAGATTAGATGACATATGCTATTAGCCACCATCCTCCTTTATCCAGTCTTACCTAAAAGGGAACTGAGACATGAGTTAAGTAAGCTCTTCAAGATCACAGAACTGGTAAGTATTTGAGCCAGGATTCCACAAAATTGTTTAACTCAATTCAGGACCATTCTGTACAACTTGCATACTATGCTGCCTGCTAGTAATCTAGCAAAATTGGTGCTTCTGAATGGTCATCCTCAAAGAGCTCCAGACTTGGGATGTAGAACTGGAGAGAAAGAATTTTCAAGGACCACAGTGGGCCATTGAGTGAGGGGCAAGTCCTAGAGTAGAGTAGTTAGAGTAATCATGAGCAAAATGGACCCTGAAAGGACAGAAAACCTATAAGATTGTGGGGAAGCCCTGAAGGTGAAGGCCACCCACTTCACTATTTTGTCTAGGGCCAGACCTGCATGTGTAGAAGGTTCTAAATTGGGATGGAGAGAGAAGATCCTTACACAGCAGGGAGAGTTAGTTCTTTATAGCTGTCTTTGTATCTGTTTATCTGTATCTATGCCTATACTTAGATATCCTTATATCTAGGTCAATCTATATTGAAAGAGATTTGTATCATGCTTTTTGAAAAGGAGCTCTGTATTACTAACATTGTCTTACCCTACAGTTAGTTCTAAAACTTTGTGTATTATGCTTGCTTTATTCGTGTATTTTATTTTTACAGTGCTTAGCACAGCTTCATGTAAATGGAAGGTCAAACATTTTCTGAATAAATGAATAACTTTTTCTCTTACCTCAACACTCCATAAAATCTTGGAAGCATATTTGCATTTAGAAGAAAGATGCTTTAGTTGGGCGGGGGGGAACTCTTGAAGAGTTTTATCAGTTGCAGAAATAACAAACACCACTGCACTTTCTATTCTTGCTTGTCAAGAAATGAAGTAGGCAAATTAAAATAAGCCAAGATTTAGCACTGCTGCCCTGCCTCCAGTAGTAAAGATGAGCCAAAGAAAAGACAAGCCAGTGAAAATACTCTGTTATTACTCCCTGTCAGCCCCAGTGACCATTTGCTCAAACACAGCACAGACCAACACGTACACACACATGTATATGAAGTTTTGTATTTTCCTTTGCTTGTGTCTAGTCAGCTCAAATGGGTCGACTCATGTTTTGGCTCATTTAACTAAACCAGAGTCTCTGGCTCAGCTCTACCTGCAAACTTTCTGGCCTTCTTGGGTATAGTGAAGTGGTTTGAGTTTCTGAGAACAAATAATTAGGCTCCAGAAGAAGGCTATTAGTTTCTGCCTCTGTGGGTTCTGTGACCCTGTGAAAAGGAAAACAGAGTTAGATAAGGACAGCGCTCAGCTACATGGGCTTCATTATATTCCTCCTTTTAGTGTTATCAGAAGGTTTACTTAATTATTATTCTGGACTTGATAAGCTTAGAGATTAATATTTTTAAATTATTTCTCCTTTTAATCAACCACATATGATACATTAGACACAGAATTAGCTTTGGTGTGGCCTAGAAAGCTCACCTTGTCTTTTTTACTTATTCTCACACTTTGGGCTTCCAAGGTAATGAAGTTTTAAATGAGGCATAAGAGCATCATCATTTCTAAGAGGCTATAAATAAGATATTTGCTTATTTTATTACTTACACTACCTACTCCACCATTTTCCTACATCTTTTCATGGTATTTTTTTCATTTCAGAAAAACATCAGAGACTTGTTTATTGGGAAAATCGCTCATTTCCAGTATGGACTAACTGATGCATTGACTCTGTCAAGTGAGTTTTGGTAACTAGGAGGTAATAATTGGGCCAAATTTTTCCCTTGCAGTTCACAGGGACAGCATTTAAACCAACTTCTAAGTAGTTTTAAAATGTAGTAGATTACAGGGGCACCTGGGTGGCTCAGTGGGTTAAAGCCTCTGCCTTCGGCTCAGGTCATGATCCCAGGGTCCTGGGCTCGAGCCCCACATTGGGCTCTCTGCTAGGCGGGGAGCCTGCTTCTCTGCCTCTCTCTCTGCCTACTTGTGATCTCTCTCTGTCAAATAAATAAACAAAATCTTTAAAAAAATGTAGTAATTACTACTACTACTACTACAATGTAGTAGATCTACTAAAATGTAGAACTGCATTCCCTTGCAGTTCACAGGGACAGCATTTAAACCAACTTTTAAGTAGTTTTAAAATGTAGTAGAACGTAGAACATGAATCTCACTTTCCAGGTACTTTTCCTTTATTAGGGAAATAACATCCAGAAATTCTTATCTATTAATCATATTTAGGCCTTTTTCCAAATTAGGAATCATCTTACTATAATTACTTACTAATATATACCTACACAAGTAAATTTCAGTGACCTGTTTGCATGTCCATTTACCCAAGGGCAATTACTAACACTATTTTAATAGAAGTTACAAATATTTAATTTCATAAGAAAATCACAGCCTTGTCTGTTAAGTTTGAGGTAGGTAAGGAAGAAGGTGAGAAACATCTTTCTCATACTCAAGTTCAGAACTCATATCCAGAGAAAATAAGACAGAACCACCTTCCCATTGTGGAGCTTTTCATTTCTTAAGGGGAAATGGCAAAAGGAGTAGTAATCACCTCAGTGAGCCAACTTTCTGTGTTTAGTCTTATTTATCAGATGGTATTTTATGATTTATAGATTTCAGGATCACCTATAAGTTAATAGAATTGAAAGTTACTTTGACAAGCGAGATGATAATAGAAGTAAACTGCTCATTGGAATAGGAATATGAGATCAAAGGAAAATAAAAACAAGGATTACAGGGGTGTCTGGGTGGCTCAGTGGGTTGAGAACTGGATTCTTGGTTTCAGCACAGATCATGATCTCATGGTCATGGGATTGAGCCCTGAATCGGGCTCTGTGCTCAGCATGGAGTCTGCTTATGACTCTCATTCTCTCTCTCTCTCTCTCACCCTCTGGCCCTCCCCACCACACACTCCTCCTAATAAATAAACAAATAAAAAAAAACCAAAAAATAAATAAAACAAAATAACAAGGATTATAGAAAAGTTAACTATATAGCCATTATTCTACCCTACCCCCCCCAATAATTTTTTTTGTAATCATAATTCCTTGAATAAGGGCAAAACTATGGTGGGAAACTGGTTGAAAACCAATAGTTGGGTATTAGAAGAACTGGGGAGGTATGTTTTTTCATTTTCCTGTTTATCTTTATCCTTTGCCTTTTCAAGCCACAGGAAAAGGTCCACCACCTTTAGAGGTTTTGACTATCTTACTCACTTGATTCTTTTCTTATCTTTTAGCTTTGAAGCTATCCATTGCTTTTCAATCTAACACATTCTGAAGCTTGGTACTGAGGTAAGAAAATGTCAGATTGTAAGTTTGGAATTAGACACTGGCCATATCCTTCATAGTATAAGGATAATGTTAAAAGTCCTCAGTGGTGATTTAGCAACACTTTAATTTTTTTTATTTCCAAGGACTTATTCTGCTTTTCTCTTTGGAATACCAGAGAGTTTTGCTTGGGTCCTTCAACAGGTGACTTGGTTTGATCTTGATGACTCAACAGAGTAATCAATCTGGGGTTCATACATTTCATTGGAACCCTGCAAATTTATAATTTGGTGAAGATCAGCAGGGCAGTTCCAGTGAACTGCACCAATAACAGTCGTCAGCTACATGAAGACAACCAGATCCTCTACCAGAAACAGACACATGATGAGTTTGGGACCCTGTTGACAGGGTCACTTATAACCATGGAAAACTTCTGAAAACAGTTTGATTGCATGTCCTTCTTTTGGCTTCTATATAGCTTATGTGATAGATTTGTAGACCCTGAAGCTTATGGGGACAAAGAGAGGAACTAGGATGACATAAGAAGCCACAGTAATGAAGTTAAAACCTTTGGGGAAAATAGCAGTATCAGTACAGGATGAAAGACAAGCTCAGTTTTCTTCAAACTGTGCTAGAAAATCAGATGGTACATTGCACAGGAGGCTGCAGAGCACTTTCCCAGGTAACACCAACTATATGTCCTTCCTCCTGTCACTGGGCATGGAGGCTTGGGTCCAAACGTTAAAGAGCAATTAGAAGGAATTGAGTGGTATCTAGTGGCTCTACCATGGATTTTCCAACAAGGGCAGGAGAGAGAGAGGGCAAATAAAATATTCACACTGTTGGCTCTCCCAAGTCTCTTTCTGCTTCGTGCTCAGTCTCTGACTACTAGTAATGTTTTGATATATGGCTTTCCAGACTTTCTCTATTATTTTATATGCTAACTGAAACTTTTCTTGTTTAATATTTCACTTACAAATCCCTCCTGCCTTTGCATTTTTTCCTCACTGAAAGTGTTCTCCAATTATTTTCTTTTGTCTCTCTACTCCTGTGCTAATCCCATTCCCCTGAGGTATCCTCTAGTCATGTTTTGATATATAACCTTTCAGACTTCCTCAATTATATTATATGCTAACTGGAATCATAGACTGTTTTCACTGGAAGGGACCTTGACGATCATCTTTCCACATCTCCCCACCCTGCGCTGTCCCCTCACTGCAGGCTTCCAGTAGATTACATAGAGAGGTCTTGAAATGCCACCTCAGCCAGAAATTGAAAAAACTGGACTAGAACCCAAGCCTCTTCACTCTTAGTTTAATGACCTTTCTACTGAAAATTTTTATTTTCTTCTTAGTCTGTTTCATGCCCTGAAAAGTAGTTTCTATAAGATGGATTTAAGGGATTTGTGGCTAGACTTAGTTTATGAGGTGACCATTCATTTCCATATGGATAACAAAAACAGGCATACAAACTTCTAACCAAATAGAGATGACTATAGTTCATCTCCTTTGTTCCTCCTCTGGCCTTAGTGCATGTGGACCACAGGCCCAGTGCTCTGCTTTACTAGAGGAGCTTTCTTGTGCTAAGATCATCCTTGGATACGTGTACATGGAGTCATGTAACATGCAGTCAGCTTTTGCCTCTCTCTTCTCCTACTGGTCACTTGCTTTAGACATAGGCATAGCTCTCCCTGCTTTCTCTTCAAGTGCTTCTAGAAAGGTGGAACTTAAACCAGCCAACCTATTCGAGTTGCTGATTTTTCAAGTATCTTCTAGGTATTCTTCATTAAAACCAGGATTCTCCCCTGGTACAGGACATCATGTTTTTGACTCATGTACACTCAACTGAAATTTATAGCTTCACCAGTAAATTCTGACCTACCTTATAATTCTAGTCCTGACTTTTTCTTTAAATTTTGAAAGGTACTCTTCTCTAGGTTAAGTTCAACTTGAGCATACACATACATTCCCTTTTATAGGTAGAAAATGTACACTTTGACAAAAACACTCTAACAAAATCCCTGGGGTCTCATTCTGCCTCCACCCTTCTTCCATCCCGGTCATGTTCAGAACTTCTCACTCACCTGGCCCACCTGGAAATCCTAGGATCACTGTTTTCCCCTCTGGGCCCAGGTCTTTGGTCTTTGTTCCAAGTCCATCATACCTTCTGAGTTATAATAAATTTACTTTCTTTAACTATAGTCAGATCTCTGACAGAATTCATAGTGATTTTTGGATGAGGGATTTTTTTTCTGCCAAGGATCCAAATTGAACAAACTTGAGTTTTGAAGGAAGAACATGTCAGGGAATGGATGCCAAAGAGGCCCACTCCACAAATATATTGAGCAATTAGCAGAGTGCAAGTGAGCTCTTCTGAGTTTGATGGTTGTAATTGTTTCCTCAGGCTCTTTCTTTCACATAACCCTTTGTCTATTGTTGTTTTCCTTTGTGTATGTTTGTGAGTTGGTTGTGGGGGATGTTAAACAAGCACTGTTTTACTCCATGTGATTATAGCATAATGCTTGCATGTTTACCTTTCATATCCACTTTAAAGATGGAATCTGTTTTACCGTTGGGACTACTGCTATGACCAATTCTGTAGCATTGCCTTCAGTTCAGACACATGCCTCTGAAACCGTAATCACTAACAGATGCTGCTCTGAATCAAGAATTCCCCTCTCTGGCTACTCAGCCTGAGCAATGAGCTGCCTAACTTGGATCCTACTAGCTTCTTGAAAAACTCCACAGGCTGCCTTACTAGCATACTGGTAACACGCAGAAGATTGATATTTTCCAGGCCCAAGTAGGACTTTGAAATAATACCTAACAGTTGTAGAGAGCTATTTATTTTCCCCTCCTTCCACAAGTGTTTTCACAAATGTGATCTCATTTTATCCTTCTCCTAGTCCTTGGAGTTAAGTAGGGAAAGCAGTATTTTCCCCCAGGAACCTGAGATCCAGAGATGTTAAGTAACTTGCTCAAGGTCACACAATTAGCCTTGACTGCTAGTCTGGTGTTCTTTCCACCAAAATGACACTAGTATTTACTTTGTCCTGTGTTAAAGTTGTCTAAAATCTTTTTGGGCACTAAATGAATCCACACTGTCATTCTTAAGCTTAGATTTATATTAAATTTATGACAACTTTAAGTATCCCCTGCCCCTCCAGTCCTTAAGTTATAGTGATTTTGTGTGCCTAAAAATTATTTGGGAGTCTTGTTCAGTAGATCAAAGGTGGAGTCCCAAATTCATCATTCAAAAAAAAAAAAAAAAAATCCAACCACCCAGTGATTCTGCAATCAGGTAGTCTGTGTAAACACTGTTCTAAGAGCTAAAATAAGCAAGGCACTTAAGATCCCTGAGCCTCAGTTTCCTCATTCAAAAAAAACAAAGGAAAACAGACTATAATTAATAAACAATTTCCAGAAACCAACATGGATCCTAACCATAATGATTTACATCAGAATTCCTCTTAGGGAAGAAACAGTAGTTGTCTGGAAAAACACATTGGAGGTAGACAGTGAAACCTCTGGGGTCTGGGTTTCTGGGGAGTTTATGGAAATGCATGGAGTTAGGTGCTGAGTATGTTGAGGGGGAACAGAGCAATCCCCGGTGGTGAGATGGCCAGAAAAGACTCTGGAGAAGAGGGATGGTTGATATGGAGTTCTAAGGTATTTGCTGTGTGGTGTAGGCTGTGGTCCTTCCTTGTGTTCCCTACATATTCAGGCAAATCTATGTTTTATGTGAATAGAGGCCTTTCTATTGAATGAAGCTGGATTTAATTCTGGATTAATATAATGTAGAACTGAGCAGAAGAAATCATAAAAACATAAGTCTTGGGAATTTGTAGAAATCTTGGAGATGACTTTGGATTTCTTTGAACTAGAAGTAGAAGCACAAACCCATTTCACCTAATTATCATGGGATAGATGTGACCAGGGGTCATCTGCGTGAATGTATAAGCAGGAACACATTATAGAAAATACTATTTCTGAAATATTCTCATGGCCTTAGAAGAACTAGAATGTGATTAGAGACCTCATAAGAAAGGTGCACATCAAGAAAGTGAATGTGAACAAGGATGTTTTCAAATAAGGTAGGTGAAAGAGTAAGAACTTAGAGGTATAGTTCTATAATGGGCCTGGTTTGTGGAATGATTTTAACTAAGTTCTAATGCCTTTGTTACCTTTCCTATGCATTACATAATGGTAGTGCCCATGGACACTTGAAGTTTTTTTTTTTTAAACTTTAACTTTATTTATTTTTATTGTGTAATGTTAGTTACCATACAGTACATCATTAGTTTTTGATGTAGTGTTCATGATTCATTGTTTGTGTATAACACCCAGTGCTCCATGCAATCTGTGCCCTCCTTAATACCCATCACCAGAATTGATGCTTTTAATCTAATAGCAGAGTCAAAAATTTGGGGATTTTCTACACTTGGAAGTATTTATGTCAAGATTTTCAGAAAGAGTTCTTGTTCTGAAGGAGCAGGTGATGGGGATAGGGGAGCAAGGTGAAGGGTCAAGACATTGATTTCCAATTCAGCTAGAACATATACTAAATGTATATTTATTATACATGATAATACATATACATATACAAAAATGTCCTCTTTGCAAACAAGTAGAAGCCCAGATATGTAGCCTTAAATGTGAGGCTATGTCTTCATCTGTGATACGGATACTAGAAAGTCTCAATATTCTTCACAACTTAAGAGACTAAAATGATTGGATTTGATGAGAATGCTTATGTTGAATGGTTTCAATACTCTTGGTAAAAAAAGAGAAATACCATCATCTGATGAAAAATAAAAGTTGGGATTACAGAAGTTTGTGGGTTTTACAAGAGAGGTATGTAGTAGTTCTGGGAGAAGTAAGCTAGGGAGATAGTGATAAATCAATGGCAAGTCTGCCTATGGGTGATTGGGCCAAAGAACCCCTACACAGTCTTATACAAATTTCTCAAAGTCTCCCTTTATCTTCTTACCCTCAGTGAAATTCCGTTCTCTTTGAGAATACTGCTTAAGGGGATTTCTCATTTTCCACTTCTTTCAGCATCGTGGAACCAGGATGAACAAGCAGAGAAAAGCCCAACTTCTTCTGGCTCCTCTTTCATCATTTATTCTTGTTATCAGCAAATATTTGTTGAGCAGCTTCTAGTCTAGGTCCTCTGGGTTAGGTGCTGAGAATATAACTGAGAACAAAACAGAGAGACTGTCTCACAGAAATTATTTTGTAATCATTTTGATTCCTTAGATAAATACCTCATTTGAAGCTTATACTGTATATAAAAATACTACCCTTTCTTTTTGCTATCATTCACTGAATTACCCATTTGGTGATGACTTGGATGCCTGTCCTTCAAATCTAAGTTATGGGTATGAGGAAATCTGGGCATTCTTTGAGCTGTCTCTACATTTTTCAGGTGATGGAGATCCAAGCTCTAAATTAATTTTTTGTAAGCCATTTCATAAAATAGAAAGATATATTGGTATTAAAACTTTGCTTTGGGACATCTTATTCAGAAAATTTAATTATGAATGTGATGGCCATACCCTTGATTTGATCCTTGTAATAACAAAGTATTATAAGTTGAGTGACTTAAATAAACAAAAATGTGCTGTCTCCCAGATCCAGAGGCCAGAAGTCCAAGTTCAAAGTGTCAGCAGCATTGGTCCCTTCTGAGGGCTGTGAGGGACAATATTCCAAGCCTCTTTCCTAGCTTCCGGTGGATAGCTGTCAATCTTTGGTGTCCTTGGCTTGTGGATGCATCACCGAATCTCCACCTTCACCTTCAGTATGGGTGTTTCCC